AGACATTGCTACTATGGCCTTTCTTTGAGTATAACTGCAATTCAAACATGAACCAACCTTCCTTCCTTCCTTCCTTCCTTCCTTCCTTCCTTCCTTCCTTCCTTCCTTCCTTCCTTCCTTCCTTCCTTCTTTTGTCTCTTTGCCAACAAACACAACTAGCCCTGAAATGTATAAAAGTAGTCAGAAAATGTGGTTTGGAGTGCATGTTTTGTGTAGAAGTATTTTCTGATAGCACATTTCACAGGTGCAAAAACAGGGAAACATTCTGTGTTGTTGTCCAGATTTCAGAGCTTGAGTTAATAGTATAAATCAACATGGAGCTTCCTTCATCAAGAGAGTCTCTTCCTATAAAAATGTTTTCAGTGGAACTAAACAGAAGTCATGGTATCATAATGAAAACTGTGATTATGTAAAGGCTAATGTATTAACTTTGAGATTATTCCTTATTTTACAAAATTCCATATTTATATTTAAAAAATTGTTGCATAAATGAGGCATATTTACTAAGGCAAAAGTTTAATTGAAAATGCTTAAATCAGGGGCACCTGGGTGACTCAGTCAGTTAAGCATCTGCTTTCTGCTCAGGTCATGATCCCAGGGTCTTGGGATCTAGCTGCGTATGGGGCTCCCTTCTCAACAGGTAGCCTACTTCTCCCTCTGCCTGCCCCCCCCCTTGTGCTCTATCTCACTATCTCTCTCTCTCTCTCTCAAATACATAAAGTCTTTAAAAACAAAAACAAAAGAAAATGTTGAAACTAGGTAATAAACTCAGTCCATTTCCAGTTTGGCCTCAATTTTCTAAAGATGTGATTTTACAGCCAGGCTTGCTTACTTGACTGATACCCTTGGTATTTTTAATTATCTTAATACTTCCATGCAAGGAAGGAATGGGACATATTTTTTGATAGCAGATAAATTAAACAAAAATGAAATCTAAAAGCACGGAAGAACAGAATTTCTACAGCTTGTTATGATAAGTTCCATGCTTTAACAATAAACATCGCTGAAAGCGTGTCTTGATAGTCCTTACCTTTAGAAAGTTACCACCAAATACCTCATGCATTTGATAGAATACTGTGAATTTACTCTTTCATCAAAAGAAGAATACCATAGAAATTTTCATACATGGGAATTTCATGGTTTTGGAATCTATTTCTTTTCATCTAAATTTAACTGCCACTTTATAGGATGAATTACTAAAAATCAGCTACTGATGAGGGTGCCTGGGTGGCTCAGTCATCAAGCGTCTGTCTTCGGCTCAGTTCATGGTCCCAGGGTCCCGGGATCGAGTTCCACATGGGGCTCCCTGCGTGGCGGGAAGCCTGCTTCTCCTTCTCCCACTCCCCTGCTTGTGTTCCCTCTCTCACTGTGTCTCTCTCTGTCAAATAAATAAAATCTTTAAAAAAAATCAGCTACTGATGAAAAATTGAACATACATTTTGAAAACAGAGCATCACTTATTTCATTTTGGATTAAAGTTAAGAACAAATACCCTAAGCTTGCTGAAATTACATCTCTCTCACATTCCTGTCAACATTCCTTTGTGAGCCAAAGGTACTTCTAGGTACTATAAAACGATAATATAAAAACATTTTAGGTATGAATTATCTTCTACAAGTACATAGTTATCATACATTCTAGATTAGATGAATTAGGCAGTAAGCAAGCTTATTTTTCACATCAAAGACAAATTTGCATTTATGTGTTATTCAGAATGAATATATAGGGGATAATATGGGGAGTTGTTATTTCACTTAAACTTTTTGTTCCTGTTTAGTTATGATTGCATGATACTACACTGATATCAGTATTATGGCTATACTTTCAATGTATTATGTTTGATTTTTATAATTCTTGTCATTTTATCCTATTTTGTTTTGATTATATTTATTGGAATATAATTTTATGTTGAATCTTATATTAAAATTTTGCTTTCTATTTAGTAATATCTTGGCTTTTTATTTTATTTTTAATTAATATTTTAAACTCATTTTATTTTTATTTTAAATCCATACTTATTGTATTTTACTAATGTATTAGTTGGGAAATAAAAACTGGTCTTTTACCTCGCAGTTTGAAAAACACTGCTCTAGAGTATTAATAAAGATACACAGGAGAGGCTGAAATATGAAGAGAATAGAGAGAGTGAGAGACAGAGAATCAGATGAAAATGAAGAACAGGCTCAGGAAAGAATAAAGCAACAGGAAAAGTTGGAAGGGATGAAGGGTAGAGTCACAAAGTGGAAGCCTGGAGTTCAACATCTTCCACCTAGTATGTTCCAAGGAATTTCAAGGTTCAAGGTGTTCTCACACTTAAGGGAGGCTATGGGGTCATGATGATGGAGGCCACTGGTGTTGAAGGTGAAACTAGTGTGTCTCACGTCAGCAACATGGGCAATAAAGCCTCTGAGAGAAACAATACTTCCAAGTCATGAGAACAAAATGATAAAGAAAATGAAGAATATGAAGGTGTGGTCCTTGAAGCAAACAGATCATGTCAAGAATGGGGAAAGAGGGGGCGCCTGGGTGGCTCAGTCATTAAGTGTCTGCCTTCGGCTCAGGTCATGACCCCAGGGTTCTGGGATTGAGCCCTGCATAGGGCTCCCTGCTCCACAGGAAGCCTGCTTCTCCCTCTCCCACTCCCCCGCTTGTGTTCCTGCTCTCGCTAACTCTCTCTGTGTGTCAAATAAATGGATAAAATCTTAAAAAAAAATAATAGGGCAAGAAAAGTAACCATTTGTTGTCATCCACTTCAATGAAAGAGGGATTGTGAAATGGTGGTGGTGGGATAATGATCTGGAGGAGCCTTCAAGAAATAAGGAGCAGGATGTCCCTCCTTGCACCTTGAGTGTGAGAAGTAGAAAAAGAATTTACTTCCAGTGTAAGATCTGATAAAAATGGCACCTCCAAAAGAAAGGCGTGCTTCAGTTTCAGGGAACTGAAGCAGCACTTAGAAAAGACATGCAGGTTGAAGAACTCTGTGCTAGAAGTAATGTTTTCACCTCACATGAGAGAGAGGTAAGGAAAAGCCCAGGGTTTATGAAGTAGGTGTGTGGGGGGAGCTGGGCAAGTTGTATCAGCATGAATTTCATTCACAGTTAAGGATGATTACCTGAGATAATAGGTGAACGACATGGATGTTAAAAATGCTGGAGTTCAGGAGAGGTAAGAAATCATGTGAAATGTTGTCAAAGGGAGAGATGAGTGGAGAGAATTTTATTGGTAGAGAATTTTGTGCCACTAAATGGCCTATAATAGGCAGAATGATGCCCCCCACCAAAGATGTCTGCATCCTCGGACCCAGAACCTATAAATATACTACCTTACCTGGCAAAAGTGACTGCTGCCTTGGTTAAATTAAGGATTCTGAGATGGAGATGAAGAACTTATCCTGGATCATCTAGGTGGGACCAATATAATCCCAAAGGTCCTTATAATAGGGAGGTAGGAGAATCAAAATCAGAAAAGGAGTGCTGCTGATGGAAAGGGAACAGAGTGATGCCATTGCTGGCTTTGAAAATGGAGGAGGGAACCACGAACCAAGGAATGCAAGTGGCCTATAGAAAACAGAAAAGGAAAAAAAAAAAAGATTCTCCCTGAGAGCCCTCAGAAGAGGTAATCCTGCTGACACTCATTTTAACCCAGTGAAACCCATTTCAAACTGCTCACCTCCAGGACTGAAAGACAATAAATGTGTATTGTCTTAAGCCACTATATGGTAATTTGTTCCAGAGCGATAGAAAATGAATACACCACCATTAAGTTTTAACTAAAATGTTTAATTATAATGATAAAACCATGATTACCTCTTGTACATACACACACACACACGCACACGCACAAATACAAATACAACACACACATACAATCATAGATTTACAAAATCCTGCATTGGAACCAACATGTACGACAGTGCAAAATTAAACTATTTTACTTACTGGTTTTCTTTGAATTTTTAAGTTTGTTTTTTTAAAAGATTTTATTTATTTATTTATTTTATTGAGAGAGAGAGAGAGAGCAAGTTGGGGGGAGGAGTAGAGACAGAGAGGGACCAGCAGACTCCCCGCTAAGCATAGAGCCCAATGCAGGGCTCGATCTCAAGACCCGGAGATCATGACCTGAGCGGAAACCAAGAGTCGGATGTTTAACCGACTGAGCTACCCAGGCACCCCAAATTTTCAAGTTTTATATAAAGTTGGTACATTAAAAAGTTGCCTTCTATTTAATTAGTTAATCTAACTATAATGAAAACTAATATTGAGAGTATGGATGCAAAACAAATATAGTCAATCTGCTGCTCTTAAAGGAATTGCTAAGGTAAAAGTGTAAGGTACTCAAGATCATCATTTAAAGAGAATCTTCCAAAGGGGGTAATTACAATATAATAACAAAAAAAACTCATAAGGCCATGACTCTTAAAAGCCAAAGTGGATAAAAATCATTGTTGAAAACTTGTAAATCTCTTAGAAATTTAATTGATTGCAAAAAATGAGCAGGAATGTCACTACAAAGAGAGAAACCCAAGAAAGAAGCTTCGCCCAAACGTGTTTTTACTAGCCTTCTTGTACAGCAATAAAACTCTCGGTTGTCCCAAGGCAAGACCTTAGGAAGTGCCCACCAACAGTTTAAACAGTCATTACGCATGTACTGTGTTCTCATCTTTGCCCTAAGGAAGTTCAACAGTAACCCAGTACTTTTTTATGTACATGCTTATTAAAGTCACACAGGTAAGACGTTTCCAAATGTGTTTTCAGAACACATTTTATTTTAGTGCTTTCAAATGTTTTGAGGATAATTGTTAGAGGGATGAAAAAAAATATAGGAGCTCAGTCTGAGAATAAAATTCTGTTTTGGCATTTTAATGTCTAAAGACTCGAGAACTGCCAAATGTTTGCTAATCAAGAAGCAGTAGAAATTCACAATCAGTCCCCAAAATATAAAACAATTCTATTCACTGTAAAAATATGTTTACTGCACTTACTTACCGGCTGTTTAGCACAAATGTTTTTTGTCCCAAAGTGGAAAAGCTGGCAATTCTTTAATTTCCAAAGTGCTCATGGAGTGCAGCTGTAGATACACAAGGCTTTTGTTAATAGCGTATCCAGGTACCATTTGCTTCCCTTTTGTCAGATATCGCCTTTATTTGAAGTCAACAGAAGCCCTTTCCCTTTTCCCTCTGGCACCATTTGTAGTTATTGTGTTCTCAGAGAAAGCACAAGGCATCAAGGCATGGACTGATTTTGCTCTGAACCCATTCAGATACAATGTTGACATTTTTGGGGTAACTTTATATTTTTTGCTTTCTAATGCACTACAGCCTTCAAAAATAGCCGAGAGTATTGCACTTGGGACTCATCAACATTAAAATATCTGCTACCCAGAGTAAAATTCTAACAATAACTACAGTTTTTAACAGCTCAAAGCACACACCTTAGACTTGAAGGAATTTCATTGTCCTTTTTAAAAGGCAATTTCTTTAGTTGAACCATAGTCTCATCTCCCTTATTGGATCCCAAATTTCCTTTTCAAGTATGAATCTTAAGAGATCAGTGGATTAGTGCTTGCTGATATAATCTTGGTCTCACAATAAAAGCACAGTCATCAGGAAAAGATTGCCTTCCGTGTATAGGAATAATGACTCCAGGAATCAGTAAAATAACTCTGTTGCCCATAAAAGTAAATCAAAATTATGGCTGTCTTAATTCCTCTTTTGAAACAAAGATGTTTGGTGTTCAAGAAAGAGGAAAAAATACAGTTTAAATTTTTTGGAAGTCTCAATATTCAATAAATACCATATGGTACACAACTATTTTAGAAGGAGAAAAATGGTAAGAAAAGGGCTTTAACAGGTTAAATGTGCTCTTGGGCAGTGTAAGTGTCGACATATAAATCACAGGAGCATTACCATGTTACCTCGGGTTCAACCTATCAGCAAAGTAGTCACTAGCTAAAGAGATGCTCAGGGTTCCTCCAAATGAGAGGACCTTTCTCAGAAACCCAACTTTTTCAGCTTGGCACCCTTTCAGAAACCCATATGTTGCTACCACCTCTTAAAATACTTCAAAAAAAAATAAAAACGAAACAAAAACAAAAAACCCCACCAAAATAATCACTATAGAAGTCTTACAGACTGTTACCTAGACTGAGTATCAGATTCATCCAAAAGAGTTCATATACCTGATTAGCAATATTCCTCTGAGTAAAATAGGAAGTTGAAAAAGATATTTGATGGAACAGGTATTTGGGGTACTTATTTCTGAGGCCACTTTAAATTTCACAATAACCCTCTAAGGGAAATAAAACTCCTATTAAAGCCTTAATTAAGTTAAAAAGAACTCTAACAGGAAAACATAAAAACCACACAGCCACTGCTGACTCTAGGCATTAAGACCTTATAAAAGAATATCTAAGAAGCAGAGATGGGGCTGGAACATTCAGAGATGTATGAATCTAAATTTCTGCTTCCACTGTGCATTTTCCAGCCCCTGCACTGGTGCAAGACTAAAAACTCTAGAACATTATGAAGCACTGATCATTCAACAACATGCTGTGAATATAATTTCCCATCACTTTTTTTCTTCTAGGCCTGGAAGCTTGATCATTATGGAAGATTATATATGGTAGGTATATCAGGTCAGTGCCCACAGGTCAGGAAGGAAAAGTTTTGAAACTAAACAAACTTCCAGTTATAAGATGATTAAATTCTGGGGATCTAGGGGCACCTGGGTGGTTCAGTCAGTTGAGCGACCAACTCTTGATTTTGGCTCAGGCCATGATCTCAGGGTCATGAGATCGAGCCCTGGCTGGGCTCTGAGCTTAGCGCAGAGTATGCTTGGGATTCTCTCCCTCAGCCCCCCACCCCACCCCCACTCACACATGCTCACTCACTCTCTCTCTCAAAAAATAAAAATAAAAAAAAAATTCTGGGGATCTAATGTACAGTATGGTGATTATGGTTAGTAATACTGTATTATATACTTGAAAGTTGCCAAGAGAGTAGATCTTAAATGTTTTCAACACACACACACACACACACACACAAATAGTAACTATGGGAGGTGGTGAAGGTATTAGCTAACACTATGGTGGTAATCATTTTGCAATATATAAGTGTATCAAATCAGCATGTTGTACACCTTAAACTTACACAATTTTACATGTCAATTATATCTCAAGAAAGCAGGGGAAAAATTAATGAAGTGTATGTTAACATGGTCCAAGAAATCTGTACATGCAGAAAACCCATATATTCAACAATCACTTAACATCCTGACCTAATTTTCCTCCAATTTTCCTTAAAGATAATCAACAAAACACATTTTCAAAAATCAATGGCATATTGAAAAACCAAATTTGAGCAGAACCTGCACTCAGCCTCCAGAGTGTATGTTTGTGTATGGGAAGGCGGAAGAAGGGGAGGTGGGGGAAAACAGAGGGGTGGGATGTGAACTCTAGTTGTGATTGAGGGCTAGCCACCTGATGTGTTCCCCATTTAGCCTTCCAACTGATGGATCAAATGAGAAACTGTTTTGCTCTGTTTCAGAACTGATTGACATTTTAATTATTCTACAGCTGGAAGTGTTAATCACACCAGAGAATGAGGGAATAATTCCCAGCTGGTAAAATTTCACACAATACCTTGGCAGGCACCGACATGCAGATAGTTTAAATCATTTGTTGAAGAACAAAAAATCAATATTTAAAATCCCTTCACAAATTAAACCAGCAACAATAGATCTATACTTAAAAATCTCCTTAAGTATGGTCTGCACTTTTTGACTGTCAGAGAGTCAAAACATTTCATGAATCTAAGGAAATTACAAATTTAAATATAACTAATTTGAATAGTATGAGATGATTAAAAGGAATTAAGATAATGAATTAGTTTTGTTTATAAAATATAAACTTTATTACTCTTCAAACTTTCATTATTTTTATTATTAGAATCCTCTCTCTGAGAAAGTCCATGTTGCCTTTTACTTAAATGTCTCAAAAGACATGTTTAATTCAGAGAAACATTTAAGTTAGTTCTTTACATACTTATCTGATCAGAAGAATCACCTAGAGTGTTATTACAAACTCAGAGCTTCTGATTTGATAGCTCTGGAATGAGCCCTGGAAATCTGAATTATCAAAAAGGACCCTGGGTGATACTTAAAATCAGACAACTTTGGAAAATACTGGAATGCATATTTGGATTTTTCAATTAAACTTTATTTAGTTCTATTTGCATATATAGAAAAATATGGTTTTTTTCCCAAATAGTAAATGATAGAGACAACGACCAAAATTAATTAAAATACAAAATTTCTGCCTGTTTAAGTGATAAAGAATAAACTAGAAACTTTTTCCATCAAATTCTAATAAAATTTCTAGTTTTGACATGTAGTAAAACTTTTGACAGTCAAATGTTTTTCAGTTTTTAACTCAGCTGTAAACCCTGAGAATGTGCTTCCCTTTTAACAAAAGGAAAAGTTTTCAACAGAAAACACATTCTAAGAGGAATACCATTAACTTAGATATTAACATTTTGCCTTCAAAGCAAGTTTTTCTTTAGATTTTCCTTAATCTGTATGAAAGTGTCAAGCTTCAAAAATAATTATAAAGATGTTTTGAATCCATATGAAATACACAGCAACAAAGGTATGCCAGTGTCCCTGATTAATTAGGGAAGTCTTCAAGGAAAGGACGGAGCTGTCCAGCATTTAATTCTATATAGTGTTAACTGTGCACGAGGTTTTGTTCTAGGTAAAAAAGCAACCTCAAGGTAGCTATTAATATTTTTATCATTGTTACAATTCCCATTTTACAGATGTGGAGATGGAAATATAGTGAAATGGAAATGTAGTGAAAATAAAGAATTTACCCAAGACTACACCTTCATTAAGTTATTAATTAGCAGATCTGGAAACTGAACCTATGAAGCCTGGCTAATAAAAAACAAAACAAAACTGGATCTTTACCTCCATGCTATACTGCTCCTTCATTTTTTATCTTTATTCTAAACATATTACTAAAATACAACCATCATTAAATTGGTATACTTCATAATCCAAAAGACTTTTTTTCCCCAATTTGGGAATAAAAATCTAGAAAAATTGCCAGCCCTCTGACAAGGCTGTGGAGGGAGCCCTGCTGTATCAGCCGCTGTCCACGATACTCAGCAAGCTGTTGCTGTAGCTGCTGTTTCAGACCTAGGAAAGTAAGGAAAGAAAGGAAATAGAACTGACTTCCAGAACTAAAGGTTTAGGAAGATAGTCCCAGAAATTCCTTGAGTTGTAAAACAAATGAATCTGGCTGGGTTATTTTTCAGAGATCTCTTTAATAAATTGACAAAGCAGAGACTAGATTGGTGTGGATCCCAGTACGTGAAAAGGATCATCTTCCCATTCCACACGCATTTTGTCTTTCCTCTTCTTTTGCTTCAGCTTTTGCTATAACGAAGATAAAATGGCTTCTTGTTCCGTCATCTAACTTTTAGAGGAAAAAATGATTTAACAAAAGTAACTTCATTCTTTCTCTAAGACTTATGCTGCTTTATTTCAACAAAGAAATAAATCCAGCCTTACTTTTCGACTAGGACTTACTTTTAGAATAAGAAAATAGTTCTCTATGGATGTTGTACATTCTGCTTTTTGTTGTTGTTAAGAAAACTGAAGCAAATTGCCTCTGCTCTAGGTTGTGAAGCTCTTAGGCCCTTGGGTTGCTGATTTACAAGCCTGATATCAACATGCTGTATCTTTTTATGTCCCAGTTTATAATGCAGTTATGCAGGCCTCTTAAGCTATTAAGACATCATCATTGACGTTGCAATTTGTGTATATGTTTTATACCTCATTAAATTCTCATCTTTCTAGCTCACAGCAATAGGCTTCTGGCCTAGGCTACAGCATAATCTCATAACATAACAAAAAATATAAAATCATCACAGAGAAAGTTGATGGTTGAAATCTTTACCCCCAATCAATTGATTTATTGGTGGTAATGGCTTTATAGTCAAATAGAAATTTGTCCATGGTATAATTCAGGTAATTTCTAAAAGCAGAAGTTTAGCATCCTTGTCAGTA